TGTGTCTGAGGCGTCGGCGGCGGCGGCAGCGGCGGGGGGGAGGCGGAGCCGGCGCCGGGGGCGGCCTGCGGGAAGGCCTCTCCTCCGCCGACCGCGCGTTTTTGGCCTAGGCCGCGGGGCCGCTCGTGGCCTCCGGGGATCAGGCGAAAGGGGTTTGTGCGTGGGGGGGGCCTGGGCCTGGGGAAGCTGACGCCGGTCGTCCGGAAGCCAGGAGGAGGCGAGAGGCCGCTCGTGGACTCCGGGCCTAGGCCCTCTCCCCTCAACCTTCTCCCGGGGCCTGGGTCACCCCAATCCACGGAAAAAGAGACCATCCGGGAGGTGCGGCCGCGCTATGGACCCCTGACCCCGCGGGGTCATTCGGACTCTTAACGTGTGGACTGACCGCTACTGACTGCACCGCCAGCCCCCCGTCGCCTGCCGGCCCTTAGCATGAGCGAGGGGGACCCAGCCGGGTGACATTGTGCCCGTTGGCGGATTCTCGATTTCCCCCTTTCCCCATCCTCGTCTTCCTCCTCCCACATGAAGTGATTCTGAGTATCGGGGTGGTTCTGGATTATTGTTCTTACGAACCCCTGCTTGTGGTTGGGGGTTATTTAATCTGAGGCCTCAGGGTCCTTCCGTGTCTTTGAGTGTTTTGTGTGTGTACATACTTTGCTCTTAAGTTTATAAATACACATATATTGAGAGTGTCCACGTCTCCTCGCTGAACCTTAGGAATCCTTTGGCACCATGTCCTGTGTGCATTATAAATTTTCCTCTAAACTCAACTATGATACCGTCACCTTTGATGGGCTCCACATCTCCCTCTGCGACTTAAAGAAGCAGATTATGGGGAGAGAGAAGCTGAAAGCTGCCGATTGCGACCTGCAGATCACGAACGCGCAGACGAAAGAAGGTAAGGGACGCCCGGGTGCCCGCAATTTGCTGGTTGAGATAGATACTAGTAAGGTGCCGGCAGAAGGCTGTCCGCCATGATGTCTCTTGTGGGACTGTTCGTTCCAATACTTTGGATGAAACTTTTCATTGATAGCCAGGCGTTGCAGCAGCTGGCCTTGGAGTTCAACTGACTTATTTTGTTTCTGCATACTTGGGTTGAGGCCATCTATAACAGGCCAGTCCGAAAACATGAAATCTGATTATTCTAAATGCTTTTTGTTTTTAAATGAGAGTCGGTGGGGGAGAAAAAGGGTTGTTAGATTCTGTGGGTGCTTTTCTAAATGGCGTCTTCTTAACTTGGTTATCTTGAGAAACAGGAGAGCATATGCAAGGCTTCCAGTTTGTCAAAGCAACAATATAGGTACTTCTCTAATTTCCTAACTTAATGCTATGGAGTTTGATAGCAAATTTTTTGTCCTTCCTTTCTCCCATTTACGTATTTGGAGTTGCCAGGATTGTAGAGACAGCTCATTTTAATATTTTTGAGGCTTTAATCAGTGTTGGGATTTTTTTTCTTTGTAACCTGAAATATTCTGATGTGACCAACCTTATGTATAAATGCCAGAATTAGTACTACAGTAATTGCATAGTTGAACTCTTAGCTCATCACATTACTTTTAAAATTTAGCAATTTGATAAAGATCAAAAGTACCAGTGTCCCTTTTTTTAAAGTAGTAATTGCCGGACTTTACATGACTTAATTCTAGGACACTGAAAAAGAATGGGCTGTTACCATAAGAGTACAATAAGCTGTTGATTATGATCTTTAAATTCTTCCTCCTCCTTAAAAGTATGTTATTGCATTGGGAATTTAATAGAAGATAAATATGATGAGTCTTTTTACTTCGCACCTGTTTTAGTTCTTTTCTTCGATAGAGTAATTAATGCTGATGTGCAGTTTTCAGTAACTCAGTCTTCTGAAACATATTGATGGAATAAAAAAATAAAATGAAGCTCCAATTAGATATTTTTTGATCACCAAATTTGGCCTAAAGCATGACATGGTTATTTTAGTAGGGGTGAAATGGGAGCTAGGTAGAGAAAATCTCGTCATGCAGACTAGCCTTTTATTTACAAATGCAGAAGTCAGTATAATTGTATTAGGTTAAGGAACAACAGTAGTGGCGTAACATGACTTAAAAATATTCAGTAAGGAAGAACTTTATTTACTTACATAATATGCAATAGGATATTGTCTCCACAGCCTCCTTTTTAAAATAAGTGTCATATGCTTGGTAATTGTAATTTGTGTAATATTCCTTTACTTAAGGAAATGAAAAAGTTGTTGGTGCTCATGAATAGTTGAGATATATCTCTGTTAAGGCCATGAAAAGCATCCTGTAAGCATTATGGTCACATTTTACAGAATAGATAGATTTATAAAAATTTTAATTTTTCTCAATACACCAGAGTATTTATGAATGAGAAGAAAGACAACGTAAATGAAATAAAGGATATTAAGGCAATTTTACTCATTATGTACTATGCAGGTTTCAAATTTTATTGAAGTATTACGCAGTTCAATCATTAGAATCTCACCTTTGTTTTCCACCTAACAATTTTGTTAGACTGGCGTACCTTATGGTTAAAGGAGCTCTTTTCTATAAATTCCAGTGTTAATTGTGTGAACTGCTCTCTATTGGAGAAAGCATTGATGTTATTGTTGATGGGGAGGAAATGTACATTTTTATATAATTTTCAAATCGAGGGGGTAAAAGAATTTCATTGATTATAGTGTGGCACTTAATTATTTAATGAGCTTTTTTGGTTTTTTAATAATAACCATTGTCATAAAACAGATAAATTAAGAATGCCACTTCGTTTTAGTACTATCCAGTGAATTAAAGGTTGCAAAATAAATATTTATAGCTTCATAGCTTTCTAGGAGTTTGCCCAGGAGAGAATGCTGAACTGGATTATCTTAGTTTCTTTTGAATTAATTTTAAGTTACCCTAATCCACCCATGTTTCTATAAAACAGTCATTACAGTTTTGGAATCTGCTTATATTTTAGCACTCTTAACTATAGATAAAACTGAAATACTTGGATCAGTATTCCATGTATTTAGATTTAAGCATACTGCTTGTTTCATTTGTAGACTATATTTCAAAATGAACCACAGTGATCTCTGTTACAGGAAAAACTTGTCTGTTCATTGACTCCCCAAAAAACAATCGTGAACTTAGTATGAGAGATTTAGACACTGAATATGAAGTATTTTTCAAAGATTATTATCTTCTGATCTTAGATTCATCCAGTTATTCATTCCATCTATGCCTTTCATGTTTTTCGAACAAATATTACACAAGCCAAGGAGAAAGGATCTTTTGAAACTAACAGATTACTTGTTAAGAGGATATTTTAAGTGTGAAGATAATTTTATGGGAAGGAAATCATCCTTGTAAGTCAGGTACTTAAAAGGTCAGTTAGGGGGCTAGCCCTGTAGCAGGGCACTAAAGTGCTGTACCTAGAAAGCCATATCTCACTGCTGCTCACATCCCCACTCTAGCAGCTTGAAAAGCAGTCCAGGCACATGTGTGCACCCAAAATCTTGTCAGGATAGAGAAATGGAGGAAGAAGTATTGCTGTGACCACACCCTAGTGGAGGATTCTCTCTCTTTGGCAAGCATATTTGCACTAAAACTGACCAAAAAAATTTATAAGACTGTTAGGGCATGTGTTTGTGGGGTATCAGACCTCTTACTTTACATAGTATTTTGCTAATCAGATTAATTAATTGTCTTTGAAAGCTATTGTGGGTGCATTTTGAGAGTTGTTATATATTCACAAACTTTGTGTCAGATGTTTGGCACATTTTGTTAACTTTTAAAAAAGCTGCTATGCCCCCTGCTTTTGATTTTCCTGACTCAGAGCACACTTACAACATGGGACTGTCATGAACTATTTAAAATGATGATAACCTTATATTGGCATGCCAAAATCTAGGAAACTGCATTGTTCTAATTAAATACCTTTGAGATATAGCCTACTACTTGAATTATATGGAAATGAACCCTTGCCTGAACAATTTAGTTTATAATAGAGTACTAATGCCATTATGAATAAAAATAACAAAGCCAATATATTAAAATTAAAAAATGCCTACATGTATGATAAGCTTGAAATAATTGAGGAAAAAATAGGCAGTCAGCTACTTTGAGCAGAATAATTTGAGTGAGGCAAATAACATGAAGCACAAACCCTGATTAATGTTTGGTTTGTGACTAAGGGAGATAGATGCATTTTTTAAAAAGAATTTAATTTTATTTGTTATTATTATTATTTTTTAAACATTTACTATAGGACACAAACACTTAACCAGAGAGAGAGGGGAAGTGAGAAAGCAAGCCACCAGGTCCAGGACTTGAACTGCTGTTAGATGTTTGGTAGTCCAGTGCCTTAACCACTGCACCACCTGCTGGCCCAGATGGATACATTTTTTCATCTCCTGCTAGTGTATTTTCCTTTATGGCAGTTTTCTTTTTACTGTAATTGAGGTTTAGTTTCTTTCCTAATTAGAAAGAAGTAGATAAATAGAATTCAGGGCCCTGCAGGTGGCGTGGTGGTTAAGGTGCTGGACTCCACATGGCCAACCACTGTTCAAATCCTGGACCTGGGGGCTTGCGCTCTCGCGCACTCGCTCTTTCTCTCTCTCTCTGGTCAAATTAAAAATAATAAATATATTTAAAAAATAAAAATAAAATTCATTCATCTTCCATGTTGATCTTCTCAGGAAGTGACATCACTGTTTATCCAGTTGCTAAAGCTTAGGAATCCAGGAATTCATTCCTGATTTATCTTTCACCTTCATTTCCCAACCCATTAGCTTTGTCAACTATACCTCAAAAGATTATGACTCAGGGCCAGCAGGTGGTATGGTGGTTCAGGCACTGGACTCTCACATGGCTGACCGAGGTTCCAGTCCTGGACTCAACAGGTTGAAAATCATGCTCAGTATGTGTGCGTACATGCCCAAATTCCTAAGAGGAGAATGGAAGAGGAGGCACTGTGGAGTGGCTATGGGGGGTGGGGGGGTGATTTCTCACTTAACCTCTCTCTCTCAGGCAACCAAATGTGCCCTGTGACAAAAACTTTAAATAAATAAACAAAACAAAAAAAAGACTTAATGCCTCTCTTTGCCCCATTCTAATATAGGCTATCATTATCTCTACCTTGATTGTATAGTGACCACCTTATTAGTCACCCTATTTCTGCTGCTGTTACCCTATGGTTCATTCTTCACATAGATGTCAGGGTAATTTTTTTTTTCTAAGCATAAGTTAAGTCATCATTACTTTGTCTGAAATTCTTCAGTAACTTCCTTTTGTACTTAGAAACAAAATATAAATCAATAAATGATCTGTATCTTTCTCCCTGTAAGAAACAAAATATAAATCAGTGGATGATCTGTGTCTCCTTGTAAGAAACAAAGTATAAATCAGTGTATAATCTTTCTCCAAGTCATTCTTTAGTTCAGCTCTTCAGGCCTTTTTGTTTGATACTTTTCCTTCATCTAGGGTACTCATCTAGCTTTTTTGCATATCTAACTGACTTCTGACTTCTCATTCTTTTTTTTTTTTTTTTTGGAGAGATTTTTGTTAAAGGGCCACGGCACTCACCAGATTACACAAGCCAAGGAGAAAGGATCTTTTGAAACTAACAGATTACTTGTTAAGAGGATATTTTAA